GATCTCGACCTCAAGATCGCTTGTCGTGAGCTCGGATCGCAAGCTGGTGTAATTAGTGGAGAAGTACTGGTATAAATGTCATGTAAAGTTATGGACATAAATGTTATGGTCCACTAGTGGAATTGGGCAAAAACGATCTCGACCTTGAGTTCTCTTATAGTAAGCTTGAACTCAAGCGCGACCTACCTTGTGTTTCAATATAGAACACAAGTAGTAAGAGACTAAAGTGTGGTTCTATAGTAGCCAAGCCAAGCTTAAGTAAGTAGTTACTTGGTTTGGCTCAACATATTTCCCCACGAAATTCCATTAATTACATAAAGAGGCCAAAGTCACTATTACATGCAGGACATTGAATTGAATTTTAAAGATCAAGTTGTTGATCCCGAAAATTCTCTCAAGCACAGTCAAATCTGTTTCTTCTTAGATTGAGTGTTTAGAAAGTTGTTTCAAACACAAATCAAAGAAGGAATCACATATGCAAGCTTTGGAAGGAGTTTCATAAGTTTTTCCGCACCCACTCGTTACGTCCAAATGCTTCAGTCATACCTTGGGAAGGTCCATTGGAGCCAAAACTTCACCAGGAAGGTAACGATCATTTTCAAAACTCGTTTTAGTAAATCCTGGGGTTTAGATCTGAGTTTGCCGGAGTTTGCATTTTGGATGTTTTTCCGGCGACTCCTTGTTTTGGATCTCAAACCCTTGCACCCATGATATGTACTGAAAAGTAGAATCCCAATGGAGTTGGTAACAATAGTATATTCTTTATCTGTTTAACCATATACTTAGTAAACTAAGCTTAAAAATTAATTTTTCAGAATAAACGAGATAGGTAATAAAAAAAAAAAAAAATTTAATTATTTGCAACAAATTAAATATTAATAAAAAAAAATAGACTTAGTCATTTGTAATAAATATAATTGTAACTATATATAAAACTAAATATTATCAAATAAATTTGATAAAAATAAAATAAAAAATTAATTATTTTGTAATAAATTAAATTATCTAATTATACCTAAAAATAATTATTTTAAAATCTAATTCGAGAACAAATCTTAAAATCCATTATCATAATTAATAAGTAGAAATATAAAACTTTTAATCAGCGAGTAATATCTAGCCCCACATCTAATTTATCAGTATTCCCCACTTTAAAATTTCGTTTTTTTTTTTTTTTTTTTTAACAAATGTAGCCTTGAATGAATATTACTCTATTTTATATGCTTGTTTTAATGTTTACCTTTTAATTCTTACTTAAACCCTAACTGTAAATTTTCATTATCATTGAAACTTTTTTTTTTTTAATTTCATATATTTGTTTCTTTGATGAAAAAATATTACGAAAAACTTTGGAGAAAGTAATCACACAACACATGATGAATATGAAGAAGAAAAAGTAAAGACATGTTTCTTTTCACCTCTGGAGACTTAAAAAAGTCAATCTTTTATATTCAAATATTTATTTCACCATTTAAAACTAAGAATCAATCATATTCCTTTTAATGGAAAACACCAAAAATTTTGACTTCTAACTTCATACGATAGACTTATTTGTTTGCCTTAAATTGCTTCTCCAAAAATAAACCCTACTCTAAATTTTAAATTCCAATCATACCCCTTAAAACCTTAATCTCTATTAACTTATTTAATTCGTGTTCTTATTTTACTTTCATTGTAACAAACATAAAGTATACACAATGAATTATTTGCAAAATTAAAATATTTTCAAATTCATGATTTGTAATACAAACTATAAAAATATATGATACTCAACATTTATAAGGATATTTATGTAAAAATACTAATTTTAAGATATTTAAAATTTGTAAAAACGAACACTTAATTCTTAAAATCAATTGTTTAAAAATTAAAAACGACCATATCATAATATTTTATTCAATCTTATCCATTTAGAGTTTTCAGTAATTGACACTATAATGTTATCAACAAGTTAGCAAATGCCTCTTAAGTTTCAAATTTGATTGAGGAAAAGGGTACAACGAAAAACTAATTAAAATTAAAGGCCCACTTTTGGTATTGGATTAAGTTTAAAGATTTTTTTTTTTTTTAAAAAAAAATATAAAGGAGATGTATTGTATTAACAATAGAATACTAATAATTAGATAGGAGCTAAAAATCAGTTTCCTTTTAATTTAATGTTCATCTTTAATATTTGAAATCCTTTATACTTGATCCAAACTTAGCAAACCCAAACTATCATATCCAATTCCCATCATTGTCACCTAGAAACTAAATGAACCAAAATTAAAAAAACTACCTAAAAATACAAAAAGATAAAATCAAATTCTTGACCTATCAACATCACATGTGACCGAAACAGGCCACCATGAGCAGCATGTGGTCAAGCCAGCAACCCATGGTATCATGTGTGGCCAAGCAAGCAAGGCCACCATGACGTCGATGTCACATGTGGCCCCAAACAGGCCACCAAGACTATGTGGCACAATTGCATCAGGGTAGATTCAGCCCCTTTGAGACTGGGCCTACCTCATATTTGAAAAAAAAAATTATATAATATAGGCTATAAAATGTTAATTAACACATATATTCAGACGCACCTTAAATTTTTAAAAAATAAATTATTATACATTCTGTATACTAGGTCTACAAAAACTTTTATAATAATATATATATATATAATTCCAAACCCACATCATATTAAAAATTTAAAACTCTCTCCAGTATTTTTTACACAGCTTTACATTTTTTTATGATTTTATCCGCAAATTCGTTACTCTCTCTTTCTCTTTCTCATGTTATTCTCTCTTAAAAATTTGAACACTGAATTGTTAAATTTTCACTACTCAAGGTGTCATAATTAGCTCCGTTTTCTGTTTTATAGATTTTAGGTATGTGTAGTTCATTTCAATTAATTTATTGGATTATCATTTTTTTTCTTTTTAGGTTTTTTATTCTAATTTGAGAGAAAAAGATATTAATCTTGTGAGTTTATTTTGTATTTTCTGTCTAAGAATGAATCTGCTTTCAAATTAAAACCTTAACTATATTTTAAAGGACGTTATTCTTCATCCTTCACCTACCACTTTTCTATATTTTAAACGTCACCGTTCAGTTGTTCAAAATTATTAAAGAATTTTATTTATCTATATTTATACTAAAAAATTTCCCATCTTTTATTAATTAATATTAAAAGTCAACGTAACGTTACTTGATTTAACTTTTGGTTGACTTTAGCTTAATTATTAGGTTTGTTAACACTAATAAAATTCATATTATTATATTTGAAAGCCAAAAATAAAATATTAAAGAAGGTTTACTCACACTTTTACTCAAAATTTTGCTTCTTATGATTTATTCAAGAAAATATTATGTTAATGTATATTCTTTTTTCTCAGTTTCTAATATTGTATTATTTTTTTTTTTATTAAGATTTGGTAATTTTTTAAAGTTTTCACTAATATTTGACAATATGGCCGAGCCGCGGAGCCTCCCTCAACAAAAATCTTGGATCCACCACTTAATGGCATCATGTTGGCTAAGCAGCAACGCCACCATACGTCCCATTGGGTCAAGGAAGTAACTCCACCCTAACTCGTGTTGTGGACCAACAGCGAGCTCTCACTTGTTGAGTTCGTCGACATGCGGTAATAACTAACTAGTAGGGCTTAGATCTATGTTGAGTGGTGTCATTTCAATAACGCTCCATCAAATATTTTTTAACTGTTTTTTTATAATGTATTGTCAAACTAATTTTTAAATGTATATTCTACACAAACAAAGATGAGAATTTGTGTATGACCAAAAAAAAAGAAAAAAATTGACACTTGTACTCAAACATGAAAAACAACTTAATGGTCTATGTGCTCTCTTTTCTTCATGGGAAACTCTTACAACATTTATCATTTGTCTTCACCCATATACTGTTATTCTATCGTTATAGCATGTTATACTGTTATCTAAAATCAATCCACTAAATGAAATATTACTTTTTATTAGAATATAATCTGATAGACACATTTGAGGCCAAGTCAAAAATTTTATATATAAATTGAAAATAATTTCATGAATGAAGCTAAAATTCACGAAGAATGAGAGTAAACCCAAAGTCTAACATAGTTTAAAGTTATTTATTAAAAATATATCATTTGAGGTTTCATTAAAGGTATAGTTAGTATTCATTAGATTTTACAACTAGATTTATCTTTTAAATAAAACTTGTATATTTCATTATTTTGGGAAAATGTGATTATTGAATTGATATGGACAAAGAACTCTCAAAACATATGATCATTTTATTTTCAATACGATGTTCTTTCAAAGAAAATTTAGGCAAGCATTTTGTTTTTTATTGTTAAATTGCCTTCAGAGTTATTTTTTAACAACAATCATTTGTTTACGAGCCTAACTAATTATAGCCTTATACTCTAATGCAAATCCATTACCGAAACTGGACCTAAAAAATATGATTTTCTAAAATATAAGAACTCTAAGTAACGCAATCTTGCGCGGAAAAACCAGTAAATGAATTCGTGAAAATAATCCTAATATTGTTGTAGGGTTCAATGAGTTTTCACTTTGAGATTTCCGTTAGATTATAGGTATGGTCCGGCATCTTTACCATGGCAATCCAGAAGCAAGTCCTGCTTGAAGGTTGCCAAACTTTAGCATTAGAGAATAAAGGTTGGAAAAATAAAACAACCCTCTTGTCAATACACAAACTGTCAACTTCTCAGACACTTCAACAATTCAAAAATAGATGGCTTAACTTTGCAAATTTGACAAAAGAAACCATATCTGAAAATGATAACCAATTCAAGCAACAATTAATACAGAATTTAGAATTGGAAAGTCCAATTCGCAAAGACTAACTGATAAAACAGAATATTTCAAGTCCAATTTACAATACATTGGATTGAAGAAGAAACCCATCAACTATATTACATCAGTTGTAGATGATTCTTTAACATCATATATAGCCCCAGCAACAATTCCATGAGTTCTTAATAGCAGAATCAAATCTAGCAGTTAGCACGAGCAAAGCATCGGTTATATGCTATACATTGCTTTGTTTGTAAAACTTGGTGTCAAGAACTTGTTTACCGCACATGGCACATACTCCTGCACAACCCAAGCAATAACACTCTGAAATTAGATACCTCAAACAAATAAAAAAAATAAAACCTAAAAACAAAAAGATGAAAAGCAGCAGAACAAAAAAGCACCTTTGCTGTAAGCACATGTATGACAGTACTTGGCATCCTGGTGCACTTGCTGCTTGCAAATGATGCACTTGGTATTTCCATAAGGTGTCCATCTACAAACAACAAAAAGATTGTAAGTACTAGCTAATGTTGCAGGTAAAATCTATTATAATGCCACAGGCGATTTTGGGATCAAATCTCGCTCATACCAGGGTTCAGGACTTCATGCTAAAAAGTAAACTAAGTCAATCACCAAAATAGTCAAACTTTAACATGTAGCACACAAGAACAACACCCATACTGCAATTTCATTCAAATATGCAAGGCACATAATAGTAAGGTTCAATGTTTTATGAACCTGCGACAAGCTTTGTTCACTATACTAGAACTGGAAGCTCCAGTAAAAATCCAGCATGAATGAATCCTTCGAGTGCTATTAATTTTTTCCATAATCATATTATTGGATTAAGTTGTTAAACTTGATGGAATTCCTGATCACACCGACACTACTGCTATTACATTATCTAAAATTTACAAAATCAAGAATCACATCCTAGATCAAATTGGGAATTTATGGAATCATGTAAACAATAAAGGGCAAGAAAAAGAGGAGAACCGTTTTTTCTTAGAGAGGAGTTTGTTCTCGTTGATTTTACGTCCACCGGCTTCGTTGGTGTTGCTGGCTCCTTCCTTCCACTTATCTGGAACTATTACTTTCGCTAGCTTCCTTTCACCTGTAAAATTAAATAATTAACCGATCAATACCTAATTATTAACAATTATTTTGAAGAAGAAGAAGATGAAGATAATTTACACTTTTCGCACACCATCGCTGCTTTTCTCCTGCGCAAACTTCAAGCCCTAATCTCCCTTTGACAAATCCAACCAGCGCTTTTTCTGATTTTTAACGATTTGGTAACTTCTGAATTTACTTAACTGCCCTCCTTTTCCTAATCTGCCGTAAACGAATCCAACTACCACGTTTTCTGATTTTTAACGTTTGGGTCATTTGAATTTACTTAGCTGCCCTCCTTTTTCTAATCTCCCTTACAAATACTCAAAGAAATTAACGAAAATGAAGATGTATGATATTTTTTTTATCAATAATTTACTTTGAATATTTGAAAATGAAAATGAAAGTTGAGATAGTTGTATTATATTTGTATACTTGTATATATTTCTAATGGGAATGTAATTGTTAATGTTAATTCTTATTCCTAATTTTTATGTTTGTATTTGTAATTTATAATTATAAGTAATAAAAAATGTTGAAATTCAATTAATATTTCAATGTCTCATTATTTTATTATATTTCATAGTGATTATATATTTTTTTAATTAATACAAATAAAAAATGTCACTAAATATAACATATAATAATATTTTATAATAATTATTAATAATAAATCAAAATAACCATAATTTATAAATATTAATTATTAATTATTAAAAAAATTGTAGGTCGGCCCACGTGCTAGGCCTACAGCACGCTATATAGCGAGTTGTGTCGTGGGCCTTCAGATTTGGTAGGCCAGCACGGCACAGTACAACAAGGCACGAATTTCTATCGGCCTTAGCACGGCACAACCCACGGCACAACAGGCCTTTGAATTTTTAAGCACGACACGGCATGGCACAACCCACCGCCAGCTCTACCCCTAAGAGATCAATTAGTTTTATTCACACCCACGGTTTTGGGAAAGTGATAATCCTAGGATTATATTATTTTCTTTATGCTTTTTGTAGGATTTCAGATACTTCTTATTAAGTTTTATGCCTGAATTACTACATAAATTTGTATATTTTACGTTTCAAGCCAAAACATGTAGTTGGAGCAAAATCGAGCAAAAATGAGTTTCTAGACCCAGAATCAAGTGAAATTCAAGGATCGGGGGAATTCTGGTGCTGATTGGAAGCACTGTGAAGTTTGTTCCTATTAGGGATCACGAAGATCGAAGACTAAAACGAAGAAGCAAGCGGAGAGCAGTTCCATAATTTCAACAAAGATCAAAAAGAGTTTGTCGCGGCAAGGTTCTCTCTTCGCCACGGCAAGCTAGCCTCTGGGCGGATGGTTTAGCAAAATTCAAATCAACGCCGCGGTGAGAATCTTCTTCGCCACGGCGAAAACTACAAAAATCTATTTTTTTAAAACGTTGTGTTTTACTTGTATTGTATTAGTTTCTAGGGTTTTGGCCGACTATTTAAGAGAGACTTAGTTCATTTTTGAAGGAGGGGTCGACATTTTTAGATAAGGGGAAGAGGAGAAGGAGATTTGAAGAATTTGGGTCTCTAAATTAGGGAAGAATTCATTCCTCTTTCAATTTCTAATATGTTGACCTCCACATTTACAGTTTATGTGATGTTTCTCTTTATTTTGAGCATGACCTAACTCATTTTTGGGTTAGGCTTTTGATGTAACTTGGATTACAATGGTTTAGTCTATAAATTTGTGTTGTTTTTTAGTTCTATTGCTTGGATTATGTGTTTATTCTTGTACTTAATGCAATTGGATGTTGGTTTTTTTTTTTTATTATTATTATTCAATTGAATGTTGAGCATGATGAGACTGAGAAGTGATTCATGTGTTAGCTTCTTAGAGTAAACACAGTAGATTAAGAAAACGCTAGAGATGGGTTTAGCGATCTATGAAATCTTTAAGGATTCCATTTAGCTTTATAGTCTTTGAACTATTAATCTTCATTTTGTTGGGTGCAGAGGCTTAATAAGGATAGGTAGAAGAATATAGCCTGAGAAGGTATATTCTACAACTTAAGGAATTCGATTTATAATCTTTGCATGTGAATTTGGAAGCAATAGAAATTGTAGGTTAAACTTGAGTATCCTAGTGAAGTCGAACCCTAACCTCTTTTGCCCTAATTTTAATTTGTGTTGATTAGTTTAGTTTTAATCTTAGTTGTTTGATTTTGTGCTTTAATTCTAGCTTTACTTTCCCCCACAATTTCAACATTTTTGTATTCTTCAATTAGTAATAGAATTAGGAAACTCGATAATTAGCACGTAATCCTCGTGAGAACGATTCTCTACTTCATCACTGTATTACTTTTTGCGATTAGTGCACTTGCTACATATGCATGTTTGTTGAATCACGCATCAAGTTTTTGGCGCCGTTGTCGGGGATTGATTTTGTGCTGATATTGAATTCTTCTAATTTTCGCTAAGTTAAAGTTTTAAATTTCAGTTTTACCTTTAGTTTTACTTTCATTCTATTTAGTTTGTGTAATCTCCAATCTTCTTTTTTCTTCCTTTTATAGTTTATGTGAAGAGTAAGAAGTCTTCCTAGTTCCCATTGATCTAGAGATCGAGAGAACAGCTAGAAGACTTATTAGGGAACGAAGGGAGAGAGAAGAGACACTATGCACAGAAATGGCGAACGATAGAACTTTGAGGGAATTCTCAGTGCCCACAATTGATGGTAGTGGTCCAAGTATCACTATGCCACTAGTACAAGCCAACACTTTTGAGATAAAGCTGGCAATCATTCAAATGATCCAACAATCGGTACAGTTTGGGGGAAATGCAAATGAAGATCCAAACTCACATATTGCTAACTTCTTGGAGATATGCGACACATTTAAAGTAAACGGAGTGTTAGATGATGCCATCAGGTTGAGATTAATTCCATCTTCACTAAGAGATAAAGCTAAGGGATGGTTATTGGCACTACCAGCAAGAACAATCACCACCTGGAATGAATTGGCACAAAGGTTCCTAACTAAATATTTCCCACCAGCAAAATCAGCAAAGATGAGAAACGACATTACATCATTTCTGTAGGATAAGAACGAGTCACTATATGAAGCATGGGAAAGATATAAGGAACTAATGAGGAAGTGTCCACACCATGGTTTGCCTGTTTGGATGCAAGTCCAAACCTTCTATAATGGGTTGCTTCCAAATGTGCAAACAATGGTGGATGCAGCATCTGGAAGAGCATTGCAAAACTAGACACTTGAAGCAGCCAATGAGTTACTTGAAGTCCTAGCAAGTAACAACTATCAGAGACCTAATGAGAGAATACATCCGAAGAAGTCTATGGGTATTCATGAAGTTGATGCTTACATAGCCATTTCAGCCCAACTAGCAGCACTTCAGAAATAATTAAGAAGTATGCAGGTTAATTCTATTCAAGCACCTCAATTAACATGCAACTTGTGTGCAGGTAACCATGCAAGCATTGACTGCCAAGTGGGGAACACCTTTGCTTCATCATCTTCATCTTTAGAGCAAGTCAATTAGGTAGCGGGAAATCAATGACCCTAGAATAATCCTTTTTCCAACACCTACAATCCTAGATGGAGAAATCACTCAAATTTTTTCTGGAGCAATCAAGGCAATCAATCGAACCAAATGATAGTATCAAATCATCAACCAGTAGTGAATCTTCAACCAATAAAGTAGAGGGTATCAAAGTTGGAAAATATGTTTGGGAAATTCATGCAAAAGACCACATGTTAGAGTAGGTGCCCTAGAGCCAATCTATTATTGTAAAATTAACTCTGTAATAAATGTTTATTTATCAATAAAAGGCATATTCTTCTATATCGTATAAATCATAGTGATATATGTCCTTAGGATGGTAGAACCGTGACGAGAGTATCTAGTGTTTCAAATCTTGATAGTGAGAACCCTATGATCACATATGGTGGCTATTCTAAAAACGTTCGTAGCCCTAGTATTATTCTAACCAATGACACAGATAATACGATAAGGCTATCATAGTGTTGAACGACCATGTCGAAAGGTAGTGACTGATCTCACTTGTCAATGTTGTTTGCCGACAACCTAGTGCAACGCATGGGTGCTTGCTAGAGGCAAGTTCACTGGATAAACCGACCAGAGGATTCCATATGGATGATAACCCTAGTGTTTATGGAATAAATCCTCTAACAAATGGTGGTGCTGTTAGAGTAGATGCCCTAAAGCCAATCAATTATTGTAGAATTGACTCTTTGTAATAATGTTCATTAATCAATAAAAAGGCATTTTATTCTATATCGCGTAAATCATTATTATTGCAATATGTATTGATATATGTCCTTAGAATGATAGAACCGTGACGAGGGTATCAAGTGTTTCAAATCTTGATAGTGAGAACCCTATGAGCACATATGGTGGCCATTCTAGAAACGTCCGTAGCCCCAGTATTATTCTGAAGTAAGGGCACAGATAATATGGTAAGGCTATCATAGTGTTGAACGACCCTGTCGAAAGGCAGTGACTGATCTCACTTGTCAAGGTTGTTTGGTGACAACCTGGTGCAACACATGGGTGTTTGTTGTAGGCGATTACACCACAGCAAGTTCACTGGACTGACCCACCAGAGGATTCCATATGGATGGTAACCCCAGTGTCTATGGAACAAATCCTCTAACGAATGGTGGTGCATGTGATCCTTAGACTTGAGATCACCGGAGCGCCTTGTGCACCGATTGGTGTAGTTTGACACTAGCCTAACGCAGTTCTTTTCAGAGCTGTCAATACGGTGGTGATTGGCTGCATCAAGGAGTGTATCAAGACTATGGTGGATTGACAGAGGATTTATCACTCCCGGGTACGGGAGAAAGTTATCTCACGGCGCAATTCAGTATATGGCAATGACACTAAAACTGTGGCCACAGTGGGATTGAGTTGTTGCTCTATCCAGTTTATAATACGGGTCATTGGTCCAGAAACTGAATAAATAATATCGAGAGTAACCGAAGGTTGACACTATTTCTATGCCTTCGTCTCGTCGAGATAACGTATGATGAAAGGATCGAATTGCACGGTAACCATATCGTTGACAGGTAGCTACTTTGCTGAATCCGAATCTATCGGG